TGGAATAAGTCGTTCTTGATTTAATCAATTCAATAAATTGCCTCATAATCTTTTGTAATCACCCTGTATAAATAATTCTAAAAACTATGAGTGCATTGTTAAACCACAAGTATAGAGTTATAATATTTTGCATATTTCAGAGAGGATTTATCGCCAAAATTTTGAGATGACGTCATTAATTTTTTGGTAGGGAGTAAACGATTAAATTTTGATTAATGATTCACCATGATTACAATAACCCTAAGACGTTTGCAAGTTTTCAAAGCAGTGAGTTTTGCGCTTTCAAAGTTAAATTGCAAAATGTTATACAGTTTTCATTTTTTTTTTCCAAACATATGAATGTTTAGGGTTAAAACTCAACACGGATCCATCATATACCACAAGTGCAGGAGTATCTGATTTTACAAAAATAAAAACAAATTTACAATCACAAATTTGGGAGATGACGTCATCAAATTGTTAGTGGGGACGATTAGAGGAATTTTAGTTAGCGTTTTATCATCTACATGTTAATATGTATTAACAAAATTTGACAACAATTGGTCCAGTAGTTTTGGAGATTATCTGTCCAATAAAAATCCGGACAGACAGCAGACAGATCTACTTTGTCGAGATTTCACCCTAGACATCCAAATTTTTGGAAAAAAATCTAAATTGTATAACAACAATTTGCAATTTAACTTTGAAACCGCAAAACCAGGTGTTCTAAAATTTCGCTTTACGGTTATCGTAATCATGGTAAATCGATAATAAATGTATTCGTTTATACCCTTCCAAAAAATTTACATAGGTATATCGTCTCAAAATTTTGCCGAATCTTCTGAAATATGAAAAATATTACAACTCGATGCTTTTAGTGTATCACCGGACTCAAAAACTCATTTCAAACATACGCTTCTTTACATTTACTATAGCATTACATAGGTACTTATAAGGGTTCTCATAAAAAGAATAAACGTCTCGTAATCAAATTTTATAATTTTTCGAACAAGCTGGATTTGTTGTATTGTACTTCAGGGGCGAGGAAACTTCTGTGGAAATAATTTTCGACCAATTTTTTCTGTTACTATAGCAATATAGCTTATCGAGATCATCCCTGTGTACAAATACTAAATTAAAATTATGTGTTATTATTAAAAATGTTCTTTATTATAACTTATGACTGCTTGTCTGCTTGTGACATAACAGTATGTAAAGAGATGCTTCTTAATCCCCTAACAGATGTTGCACGGCTCTTTTGCTTAATCACGCTGAAAAATGACATTTTTCATGCAATAACTTAAAGGCTTAAAGCGTATCGCCAAAGTACATTTTCTCTCTACGTATATGCAGCAAATAAAGAATTTATAAGGCTGTTAAATCTAGTCTAGAATAAAATCCTGAAATAATTAAATTTCCGGAAAAGATATTGTTCTTTAAAGATTTAAATCAGACAAAGATAAACATGCTACATTTCTTACCCGTTTTCGCTGTTCCTGTAATTTGTTGTGACCCTACGTTTTTAGAGATCCGACCTGATTGCAAGAGTTTGTGAGATGTAGTAATTAAATGGTTCTTGTTCGTTTCTATAAAGCGTGAGCGAGACGAGGCTTTGCTTTCTTATTTGCACTCATGGCTCTTTTATCGACGAGTTCTAAAATTGAGAGTGATGTTACATGGTTTTACACCCTTCTTCGCCAGTGGATGAATCAGTATAATTTTAGAGACATTTATCCCATGTTTTGCGTTGAGAATCTTTGATGTCAGTCACATTTTTTAAATTTCAAATATTTTTAAACAGATATTCGTGATGTAAAGAATGTATCTGAGAATTCGTTATTAAACCTGCTAAATTGGTAAACGTAGTTTAGTCAAGGGGAAATTGTTTTTGTGAAAAACAAGCAAGGGCACACGGTCAAACGATTTTACGTGAAACCGCTACGCTGCACGCTCGAGATCATTGTTTCAAAGGAAACTTCTTGTGGGAGGTCTGTGGTCATATTTCAGTGTTCAATTATGTAAGAAGTTTCAGCTGTGTGGCAACCTTATTGACAATTACCGGCAAAAACTATGTAGAACCCTATGCGTAGAAAGAAGTAATAAAGTGGGTAACAACTAGAACAATCTTTAACAGTAACTCTTATAAATAATAACGTACTAATTTTTTAAACTGAATTTATTGCTCAAGATTTTTTTTGCCAATTAATAAAACTTGTAAAAACTTTTATAAATTACTATAAAAAGGCAAAGTTGAACTGTCGATAGTTTTAACATTAATGACGACATTAGTAATTGAAGGATTCTGCAAATAGAGAAAAAACTTATAAGTACTTATTATTCAAGGTTTCAAGTGCTAGTATAGGTTGATAATGCTTCCTACGATAAAATGATAAATAGTAGTCATTTGATAATAATTGTTCGAGACTACTGCCATGTGTAGAAGGTGCTTATAATTGTTGTAGTTTTCATCATTTTGCCAGCCAGAGTTCTTTCACGAAACCGACTTACCCTTCGTGTACTGAGACACAGAAAGTAGATCACTGTAAAAGCGAGAAATTGGGTATGTTGTTTAAATAAACTATACTGTGTGAAATTTCTCATAGTCTGTCAAACTATCTGTTAATCATGCGACTTGGGATTTGAAACGATGTTAGGCGTATGTACCATAGAGCACTTTCTGACCTTCAACATATTTTCCGTTTACAACTTGCCAACTACTCATCGCTTAAAGTCATTTCATAGTCTCTACTACATATGTATTACTAATGTGACTCTTATCATCCGTCTTTGGAATTTAATTGTTCATTTTCGAGAATGAGATTGGTAGATCAGAGATCATTTTATTCTGACTATATTTCAGATTAGAGTTGGCCATGGAAATATTTGTCATGTCTTTGATTAAACTGTAAAAAGTAATGTATAACCTGGTCATGACCAACTCTAATCACTTGTTACAATTTTTAAGAAAAGCAGATTAAGTTATGTTATACCTATTGATTTCAATTTATTTCACTATTTCACTGTTATATCTCGATTTAAATTTTTTTAAGGATATTAGATCGAAAATGATGCCGCAAATCAATTGTACAAAAATTTAGATGCGGTTTGTACAAATTGTGTATCCAATCTGGTGTGTAGTAAATTATTCAAATGCTCAAGTGAAAAACTAGTGGAATATGACTATTATAACTTTAATTACCTAATCTTAAAAAATTCTGGAACTTTTATGAACAAAATATAATCAGTTGTTGATTCCATCTGTTATGTTTACGATATTAATAGATGATAAATCCGTGAAACATCCAGTACAAATTGTTATCTGCTTTGTTGACTTTTAAGAAAATATTCACTTTTCCATCCAAACCTAGTCTGCACGGTGACGAACTTGCCTCCATTACACGTATATATATTAATATTTTGCACATATTTTAATTTACTATAGGAAGTAAATTAGTAGAAACTTAATAACGGGTTCTGTTCATTTTTATTTCTGTTGAAAGTCTGTGTCAAAAATTTGAGTTTTATTCCCGAGCTTAAGCCAAGGAAATACTGTAATCGAGTCCATCGGGCAACTTGCCATCTTCATGTTTTCTCGGGGAATATCTCTCTAATGAGGACAAATCGATGCTTATCCATGTAACACTAAGGACAACAGTTCTGTGCTCCTAAAATTTTGGAAGAATTACACAAGCCGTTTTTGATTTTATAAGTATATTATTTTGCATGCATTAAGTGCGATTTACTTTGACAAATTTTTGCCTTATAAAATCGCCAACAGCAAAACGGCAAAACTATTTTTTCGCCGTCAAAGAAGTATGAACTATAGACGTGAAATTAGAATTTCGTCAAATGAATCCTGTGACAATACTTCACGTGATTACGATGGAGAACTTCAAAACTGTAGTTAGCTGAAGTATATACCTTCATATTTCCACTTTGTTCTCGAGGTGGTGATAACATTTGAAACTTAGTCATATCACCTTTGGTGGAAAAATATATATGTACTACTTACTTCGTAGGTCCCTTTTTAATTTCTAGTGGGTATTTTGCTACAATGCAAAATTTATTGTTTAAAAAAATCCAGTTGCAGAAATAACAATTCATCACGAACTATGCCCATATTTATTTCTAGTATTTTGTGTGTGCATACTACATATATTGAATTCCATTAGGTATATATACTAGCCATAACAAATTGCTGACCCTTTGCATGTTTTTTACGTGATTTGAAGTATAAAAATATTTGGATGACAAAATTCCAGGTTATGGTAAGCATTTAATATAGATGTCAGAGGTCGAAAAGAAAGCATTTTAGTTGTCAAACATCTTGTCAGAAGATAATGCGTTTTTAATCTTAGTGTTTGAACGTGGGTTGTTCATCTTTACTCGTAGAATTAATTAGCGCTTTGTAACGTTCTCCATATGGTGCAGAATGATTAGGGTTTTTGCTAGCCGCAGTTGGCACACTTCACAGTAACAAGTATTTAAGCTGTCGGCTTTTATTACCCTTCGTTCTCATAAACAACGCCCTTTTCTCATCCAAAATGAAATCTCATAATTTGGTGAAAACGTAATTAGGACGTACTTTCGCATTTAAACATACAAATATGCAATTAAAATTTAAGAAAAATCGAATGTGAATTGGAATTGAAATATTGTAATAAGAAAATCTTCTCAAACTGGGGACAGTATTTTAAGTTCCGATAATCATTTGAAAATAAATGAACTTGCTCCTCTATAGTCAAGTTGACGCATAGAATGTTAAATACCCCTTGTCGAATTGACGTTGCAAAAACTTAACATCAGAACTATTGGATACGCGCCATAAAATAGCTGGTGGTAGCCAATTTGCAGTTTTAGTCGTTGAACAGAATGGAAAAGAAAAACAAAATAGTCGGATCGCACCAGTAATGAAGGAGAGCCTTTATTACTTTTTCCGATTTTCTTTGCGTTTCCGCAGCATAGAGTTTTCTAGATCCCAGTTATCAATTTTTCTTTCTAATATCTTCTTATTGTTACAGGACCGCCATGTTAAGGATTCTACCGGAAGTTCACTGGATAGAGAACCGGAAGTGGATCCGAGCCAGGATTATCAACTTCTTCTGGGTTATGAAAACAACACACACACTGTGTTGCGATTTAGAAGGAAGCTTGATACTTGCGACCATCATGACATTCCTATTACGGTAAATCCATCTTAATCTTCACGAAATTTATTCCTCTCAAATTGCTATCCTTATTTTTCTCATCACCACATTTCGTTGTGCAGACTTTTTCATTTGTTGGAAATTCAATTAAGGCTTTTACAGTTTATGGACAGAAAGGCAGCACCTATTTTTAACATCTAAAGTAAAATATGAATAAAATAAAACTAGCACGTTAATAGGAACAGTTTATGAGTTGACTGTACATTAGGTAACAAGTGTTACTGAATTGTGTTGAATTCTGGAAATGAATGTTTTAACGAAAGATTCGTTTCATCCGAAAATTGAACAATATTTTAGGCAGTTATTCAAAATTCCTATCGCCAGGAGACTAAAATTTAAAGTCACATAATTGAACGCTGACAAGAGAACCTTCGCGCCTATTCAACAAAGTTGTTTTAATCCACTGTATCATTGCATTAGTTAAGGTGACACCTCTACTAACTTCCCGAAATAAAACTTCAACAATGACTCGAACTTTCTAATGGCAGCATGATGTATTGCTTGAAGCATACACATTGTTTCGTCTACCCATTAACGCAAATAAGGATATTACGAAATGAGATTCTAATGTAACTGTATTTTTTAATTTTAAATGCGAAAACGAAGTATGCACGCAGGAAAACATGCTTAAGAATTCGTATTTATAGATTTTTTACTTCCCCGGCGTAAGCTAGGAATTATTGCAATCGAGTCCATAGGACGACTGGTTACTGTTATATTTCTCGATGTGTCATGACCCCTAGAGTACAAAAAAATCGGCCTCCCGTTTCCGCCCATCTGACTGTCTGTCTGGCTGGCTGTCCGTCGTTTGGGTCAAGTATTATTAGACAGATAATAATCTCCGAAACTACCGCACCGATTCTTGTCAAATTTTATATGCCATTATGAATATCATGTAGACGGTAAAAGACTAACGAAACTTTTTCTAATCATCCCTACCAACATTGTGATGATATCACCTCAAAACTTCCAGATTTTTGTAAAAAAAATCAAAATTATTTAATAACATTTTGCAATTTATTTTTGAATCTCCAAAACCGGATGCTTTGAAATCTCGCAGATGTTTTGAAGTAATCATAAGCAAGGTAAATTTTTAATTAAAATGTATGTGCTTATCCTCCCCAAAAAAATTACGTCACCACAAAATTTTGCCGATTAAATCTTATCTAAGATATACAAAATATTATGAGTCGGTGATTGTGATTTATCATTGTATTCATATTTTTTAAATTTACTATACAGATGACTCAAAAAAATTAATAAATGACTTAATGTATTTTATTGATTAAATCAGAAACTGTAAAATCAAATACTTTAAAATCTTGCAGATATTTTAAAGTTATCATAAGCATGGTAATTTTTTTTTAATTAAAATATATTTGCTTATCCCCCCACTCAAAAAAATTTATGACGTCACCTCAAAATTTTCCCCAATAAATCCTATCTAAAATGTGCAAAATATGATAAGTCTACACTTGTGATTTATCATTGCATTCATAATTTGTTGAGTTGCTTATGCAGGATGACTCAAAAAAATGAATGAATGGGTAAACGTATTTTATTCAATAAATCAGGAACTGCAAAACCACATACTTTGAAATCTTCTAAACGTTTTAAGGTTATCGTAATCATGGTGAGTCGTTAATCAAAATGTATTCATTTGTTCGTTCCCAAAAAATTCATGACATCTCAAAATCTTGTCGAATAAATCCTCTTGGAATTATGGAAAATATTTATCATCCTATGCTTGTGATTTATCACTACAATTCATATTTTTAATTCCTGAGCGTATGCTTCTAGTTTTTAACCCATCCAGATTTATGGAAGAAAAAATCAAAATTGTATAACAACGCTTTATAATAATTTAATCATCTTACAATTCTGCCGCATAAATGTACTTTTATCAAATAACATACCCCTGCATGTGGGCTTTATGAACCCGTTTTGAATTTTTACCCTATACACACAGATCTTTCGAAAAAAATCATAATACATTTTGCAATTTAATGTTGAAACTGCAAAAGCGAATGCTTTAAATCTTGCATACGTTTTACTTAGACACGGTAACCAAATAAAAATTTCAAACAGAAATAAGGTTATTTGAAGTGGTATTTTAATTGTTTTCTTTTTCCTGTGTTTTTGTGAAAATGGAAAACGACAGTGATTAATTATTTTGTTAATTATTTTTGGGATACCGGTAAACCGGTCACTGGTACGATAAGTGGATGATATGTAGCCCATCTGAAATTAGGGAAGCGATTGAGCTGATACTTTAAATTTGTTGCCTGAAAAATGCAAGAAAAACTATGGAGCCGCTTACAATAGATTTATGGACTGGAGAACTCAAAAAACAACAATGCCTTTTCGTAAAATAATATATTGGCGTATTTTATTGATTTGTTAAAAATATACAGTTCTTCTTCGCTGTGGAATACGCGCTCAATGTTAAGGGCAACATTAAATATCCATCAGGACGTAAACGTAGAAAATTATAAAACGCTCGATTCCTTTCTAAAAAAACATCAAATGGTTACAAATCGTAGAAAACTGTAGTCTTCACAGCGGAAGAAATACGAAAACTCATTGACAAAGCTCCTTATGCCTGGGCACTAAGGTAGCAACTTTAAAAATTAATAATTAGCTAATAACATTTTTCATTTTGAAGATTGTCCTAATATGGGCGTTTATGGGTGATTGTCGTTCCATTGAACTTGATCCAATGAAAACAGATTATGTTCATGACAATCGAACAGAATTTCTTATTGATATTCCATAAACAAAAAGTAAAGTAACACGCCAGTTTTCAATTATTAGTTCATTTCATGGTATTGTCTTAAAAAGTGCATTTCGTTAAGGCTGTCAAAAGTAGCTACAAATTAATTTTCTTTTAAATTTCCAAAAACACAAATGCATCGTACAAATAATAATTGGAATTAATAAATTTGCACAAACAAATAGTCACTTATTTAAATTTACCAAATCCTGAAAAATATACGGGCCATTGCGTGCGAAGATCTTCAGCTACAATATTTACCCATGGAGGAGCAAATATCATGGATTTAAAAATGCATGGGATGGGGATGGAGATCCAGCGCCGGGGCTGAAGCCTGTGTTAAAAGTTCATTAACAAATAAAATAAATGGCACCACAAATATTCTACACCAATTAGAACCAGATTGTTCTTCAGGTAAAACGCGATCGGAAGAATCAAGACCCATTTCCGAAGCCGAAATATCGAATGTTTCAAATTTAAAAGTGAATAGAGTCGAAATCTTTTGAAAACAGCACACCATTAAAGTTGCGCAGACAACCAATTCTGGTTCGGGCAAGTCCACTTTTAAATTTGAGGGGTGCTTTCGGCTGTCACAGTCAGCTGTTTTTCAGTGGTATAGCTGCCGGTGCTGTTTTCGATTTCGTCCGTGTACCGTGTTTTATTATTATTCTATTTTTCCGGTCTATAAAGTCAATCCTTTTCAGGTGAAGTATATAATTACTGGAATATTTTTTTTACAATTTTCACCATTTACGTCCACAACAATATTTTTCATTGTCGCGACGCCACTGGTCGATTTTCTCCGCGCAGCTTTCGATGACTCAACGTGCTGTTTGCAAAAGATTCCTACTATAGTAATGTTAATAATCTTCCATTTGCATCACTATCACTAACTGGAACCTCACAGTCAATTTTGGAAAATAAAAAGTAAATTATTACACTCGGATGAATTGCAACACTCGCTTCGCTCGTGCTGGGAACTCTTCATCCTCGTGTAATAATAGCCTTTATTATATGCTCGTTAAAGAATATACTATTAGATACCAAAATCTGGTTTAGAATCATAACAAAATTGCAAAATAATCCGTTATACAGGGTGTTTGGAAAATGACGGATGAACTCTCCGCCAGGCACTTAACAGTCAATTGGTGAGTCTGGAAAAAATAGTAAAAAAAACTTTCCCACATTTTGGTGGAGTTACAATGAATTCTTTTGCTACGTTTAACAACTACGTGACACATTCATTATCACAATAACTACTAATAATATTTTTATTAATATTTCCCTTGCCCATGATAATGCTTAATTACCGTTTCATTTCGAATGTACGAAGATATAATTGTATTGTTTTTGTAATAATTTCATAAAAATTCATTTGAGAATAATGTTTACCAGGTGCAAAGCGAAGGTACATATCAGTGAAATTCAAGTAAGCAGTTAAAAATGTGTGTCATATTAAGACCCGGTTTACAGAAAAGTCATTTAATATTTTATTGTATTAAATTTTTAACACGTCGTTAAATTACCACTTGACCGCCTCTATGCCACGTCGCTAAACGCTTCATTTAACTTAATTTCGGTAAAAATATTGTACAAACTGGCCCTAAAAATTGTAAAAATTTGCGAAACCATACCTTTTAAAATGTTCACAGTTAATGGTATACCTACTGATTTGCTGATATGTATCTGGTTTTTGACGAATGTGACGGGAATGCCACTGCTGCTGCACGAGTTTATAGTGAGCGATCGGATAAAAAGGCATCCCACGGTAAAATGTGATAGGCGACTGGACGCAAGATTTCGATAAACAGGCAACTTGTTTCCTATTGGAATCCAGTTCTATGATCGAGGTCGTCCTAGGACCACACGTACTCCACAGTTAGAAGAGGAGGTCTTACATCTTTTGGCTGACGATCCAAAATGAAATGTTCAGGATGTTGGCAAATAGTGTATCCAAGCACAAAAGCGAGAGGCTTCCTCCATATGATTACATTAGGGTACAACCTTTACATCAAGGAGGTTATGATTTACGTACAATTTTGTGGACTGATCAGGAATTTTTACAAAAAATTATCAAAATTTGGAAACATTAGTTGAAGTGTATCTAAGAAATACCGAACTCATTAAATGGAAATATATTGGCTAGATTAAATGAGAATTGAATTGTCCCAGAAGAGTACAAGCTTGCTTAAATGCAAGGCAGGAA